TCTTAAGTTCTTTGAACAAATATACAAACACAGAATTTTACCTAGTGAAGTGTTTTTTGATCCAGGGAATATATATATAGCTAACCATAATTGATTATAATAACTATTTCTAACACTCGACCGAAGCTGCTACCTTGACGTGGCGGTCGGGCTTGCCTATCGTGATGACCCAACCGAGCTATACTGGCTGGAACACATGTTCCTGCAGGTCCTACCATGCCAGGCAGGTCGATTGGAGAACGATCAGACTAAAAGCAGCTACCCAAGGTCTGAGGGCGAAGTCGTACTGCTGACTGCAGAGGGGTGTGACAACAGTAAGGTGTTTCCCTCGAACAACCAGCATCTGCAGTGATGCTGCCTTCTCACAAGGAAGGAAGGGTTAGAAAAGGTCGACCCTAAAAATGTCACACCTCCCCTAACTCACGGATTTCCGTCTCCCTGGGTAAGGGTGCCCACTAAGGGCCTTTAAGAACGGAGCTAATACTCTAAACCTTTCATCAAAAGGCCGTACGTGACCGGCCTCAAGCAGTTGTCCCTTGGACTCTGCGGTCACGCAACCAGGTCTCCAAGACCAACACTAATCTATCTTCCTTTTCAGGTCCCTCAAGAAACAACCTTCCACGGTGTGGGCAGCCGGGAAGTGATAACCGCCCTCATACCCGCAACAGCACACGAGACCAAGTTGTTCAAAAACAAATCCTTCCTACATTCCCTAATACCTCTCATATCTCCACGAGTAACTCTTCTCACATTCATTTATTACAGTGCACCGCTAATGCAAACGATGCGAGTTCGCGAAACGTCGTTCCTGGTCTCCTTAAACCCCGTTCCAAACTACATGTTGGAGCATTCAATGTACGGACATTGTGTCAAATAGGGCAACAGGCATCCTTAGCTAGGACTTTAGAATCTCGTTCCATCGATGTGTGCTGCGTCTCGGAAACGCACATACAGGATCCGAGTAGCATCACTCATTTGACCTCACCATGTCAAGATAAAGAAGCAGCTCGATTTACCCTTCGTGTATCCGGTAGCCCTGATGCTGCTTCTAGGGGCCTCGCCGGTGTAGGCATAGCATTGAGTCGTAGGGCAGAACAATCTCTCCTTGACTGGATCCCTGTAGATAGTCGCTTGTGCGCCGTACGACTGAACGGGACAGTAAGGGCTCTGAAAGATAGGGACACTCGTCGTTGCCTCTTCGTCATATCAGCCTACGCCCTCACTGACTGCAGCCCAGATGATGTAAAAGATGAGTTTTACAGAAAGCTTTCGGACCTTCTCCAAAAAGTTAAGCGCTCTGATATAGTTATAATGGCTGGTGACTTCAATGCACAAGTAGGTAGACTAAGTGAAAATGAAAGACACCTAGGTGGATGTTACGGTCTCGCGGCTCAAAGAACAGACAATGGCGACCGTCTGTTGCAACTGTGCTCAGATAACCAACTATTTCTAGCAAACACTAATTTTAAGCATAAGGAAAAACATCTTTTGACCTGGCGACCCCCGAAGTCGTCTCAATGTTGGACACAACTAGATCATATCGCCATCAGTCGCCGATGGAGGGGTTTGATAGAGGACTGTCGCTCGTTCTGCGGCACATGTTTAGATTCAGATCATGCCCTAGTGCGAGCGCGAATTTGTTTGAAGCTTACTGGGAGTAGGAAAGACACTGTAAGAAAGCCTCTTAGGGTTTAACTTAATGATAATAAGGCGAAATATATATATATATATATATATATATATATATATATATATATATATATATATATAAATTTCCGAATTGATGGATGCTCGAAAACGAATCCCACCTGACTCTGAACATGATGAAGAGCGTAGTCAGCTTAGGTGCAGACTTATAAAAAGCCTTCGTAACAACCGTGAACAGTGGTCGGTGGCGAAAGCAAAAGCGATGGAAAAGGCAGCGGCGATAGGCAACACTAGACAACTTTTCCGTCTGATTAAGGAAACCGGTATTAGGAACCCGAATGTGAGTGAGACTATCTCGGAAAAGGATGGTCTTATTATCCATTCTCAACCTAGGAGGCTGGACCGATTGGCAGAACATTTTAGGGATCAGTTCAACTGGGATCGAGCCACTCTTCGGTTGCGCACGATCTCCAGTCATCCTGAATGGCGAATCGATTTAAGTCCTCCCAGTTTACATGAAGTTGAGAAAGCTATAGGAAATCTAAGGTGAGGTAGAGCGGCAGGTCCCGATAGGCTTACCCCTGAGATGTTTAGGGATGGTGGTCCAGTTTTAACGGTTAGACTGACCGAGATCGTAGGTAGAATCTGGGAAATGGACGTAATCCCATCTGACTGGTCTCAGTCGCTAATTGTCCCAATCTACAAGAAAGGGCAGAAGTCTTCTTCTGACAATCACAGGGGAATAAGTCTAACTAATATAGTTTCTAAATTGTTAGCCTCGATTATACTTAGACGTCTAACTAGAGCTCGTGAAGAGTAAACTAGAGAAAACCAGTCTGGTTTTCGACCTGGACGTGGTTGTATAGACCACATCTTCACACTACGACAGGTCCTGGAACACACACACACATTTAGACGTCCGACAATAGTCGTGTTCCCGGACCTTAAGGCGGCATTCAACTCAGTGGATCGTGAGGTTCTGTGGCAGTGTCTGTCATTGAAAGGTGTACCACAGAAGTACATTAACCTTATACAAGCACTCTACTTGAACACCACTGGTCGAGTGAGAGCATATGGTGAACTGTCACCGGAATTCTCTACATCAAGTGGTGTCCGTCAGGGCTGTCCACTCTCTCCATTCTTGTTTAACTTTGTCGTAGACATCCTCTTAGGGTTAACTTTCAGCTCGTCAGATTTTTCAGGGGTTGACCTTCTACCAGGAAAGTCGCTTACTGATCTAGAATATGCCGATGACATAGTCCTACTTGGTGAAGACGCTGACAAAATGCAGAGTATCCTGACTACCCTAAGCAACAATGCAAGCATGTTCGGGATGCCGTTGCCGAAATGCAAAATGTTGCTTCAAGACTGGGTTGCATTGGCACCTGAACTAGTGACAGGGAGTGAAGTGGTCGAGCGCGTTGATCACTTCACTTATCTGGGGAGTCTCATCAGTGCTGACGGCCTGGTGACTGACGAAATCTCAGCTCGCATACAGAAGGCTCGATTGGCTTTTGCCAACCTGCGTCACTTATGGCGTAGGCGTGATATCCGTTCTCTAATCAAAGGGCGGGTGTACTGCGCAGCAGTTCGTTCCGTTCTCTTATATGGCTGTGAAACATGGCCGTTAAGAGTAGATGTTCGTAGGTTACTAGTATTCGATCATAGATGTTTAAGAAGCATTGCTCGTATATCGTGGGACAGCCGAGTAAGCAATGCTGTCGTAAAGAAACGGATGCTAGGTAAGGATGGCAGATCAATCGATGAAGTGGTGAAACTTCATCAGTTGAGGTGGTTGGGACATGTGTTACGTATGCCTAACCACCGACTGCCTCGACGAGCTATGTTTTGTGGTGTAGGAGTAGATTGGAAGGAAGTTAGGGGCGGCCAGACCAAAACATGGCAGAAATCCATGAAGTCACTGACAAGTGGACTGAGTCATGTTGGTAGATGTAGACTACCTGGTTGGGGTCCGCGAGACGAAAGTCATCAATGGTTAGAGACCTTGAACGACATTGCTCAAAATCGTTTGCAATGGCGCAGGTGCGTCCAATCTTTGAGCTCTCTCAAATCCTAATCTTCTGGATTCGTCAGTTCTAACTTTGTCTTTCTAACTATCTCACTGAATTATATTTCTTGAATAATATCTTCGAACCCTAGTCTTCTTTATTAACATTAATACCTCTACTATTTTTATCACTATGGGATTTGCTTTGACATTTGCGTATCCGTGCTGTGGTATGGCAACATGAACTTATGTACATACGTACGAAGTTCTACGTTGCAAGTGACTGACTGACTGACTATTTCTAACAAACCTTGTAGCCCAAATTCAAATAAACGCTCAAACAAATAATTGCTTACTGGGCAATTTTGTAAGTCTAGGTAGTATTCGTCGAAGATTGGCCTCAGTTAAGGTGAAATATTGAGAAAACCAAACGAAACAAAGGATAATTATTTCATTGCCAGTTTGTGACGTTTCAGTAGTTTGGGCACACATGAACTCACAAGTGAGGGTAGCATGAAAATAACCTTTCGTAACTAAATAAATTCGAGATTATAAGTTATTTAATGGCTAACAAACAGATAGTCTTAGAAGACTACTGACCAAATGGAATTTAAATGTGTTCGACAGCGCTCAAATGGTTTATAAATCTTCAATTATGTAATATATTGACTTTCTCTCATCCAATCGAATAGGGATTATCTTAACATCATAGATAATACTGCAGCTCTTCCAGTATTGATGTGGAAACTTGCTCGTTCGAAATTACCCAAACAGCTATGACATGAGAACAAAATCATTATAAACTTTTGTCTTGATAAATATTTTGCACGAATATAAGATCGACTATTGCTCTCTGTTAAAGTAATGACATAATTCAGTTAGAGTTCACTATAAAAAAGACAGGATATGAATCGTTAGTTAAGTGCTTCAGACAAAAGCTAAGCCACCAAGGAAATGAGGTTCTTACGTTATTCTTATACATTGTAACACTTAATTACCAGGGGATAAAAGTATTTCCTCAGAACCTTATTATATTGATAAGAGCTGATTACTGCATCGGCGACCAGCCAAAAAATCGATCATGTAATGATAATAGTGAGGGATAAGTTCGAATAACTGACGATAACATATGGATTGATAAATCATTATCTAACGATCTTGAATCATAATATTACTTCAAAAATACCTTACGATTTGGTTTCTTAAGCCCCTACATTAAAAGCTGTTTTCAACACGGTCAGCGCTGCCAAATAAACCCTGTCTCTATTTTATATGACCCTCATCAGTAATAAAATCACTACTTATGGTCGACGAATCGAATCAACGTGGAAAACCAACATTTTTTCAAGTAATTATGATTATTAGATCCCACCCTATTACAATTGAAAACAAAGATAACTGAACAGCATTAATTTATACAAGAAATGTCTAATAACGTAGCAGAAAATAAGCAAAATTTGCAAGACGAACAATATATCAAAGATTAAAAATTATATAAACCAGAAAGATACATAATAAAAAATGAACATGATTTATCATCAGTTTATAAGTATGAATATATCAGAGAATCAATGTAGTGAATTTTGCATAATAATGATAAAAAGTGAAACAATGACAGTGATAGTATCATTTCTCATTGAGATTAATATATTGTAAACGAAGTCGAATACACGTACAAGGCACAATTATCTAGGCGATAAAAAGCATAGTTCAATAAAAACCAGAGGAAAAACAAAGAGAAACCAATAAATATTGTGCTCAGTTATCTTGGTAGAGATTAGACATTTTCATACTCCTTTATTTGTCGACCCAAACAACAGGCTATGACAATGCTTAATAATTGGAAGAAGCATACACCAAATGCGACACAAGCAACAATTATCAAGTTGCGCTTCAAGAATGCTCCAAAGACAGACACACAACCCTAGAAATAAAAGGGAGATTGTTACTTGGCAATATATAACATCGTTACAAACAACTAAGATTGACATTGTAGGTCGATGGGATAGACAAAGAAATAAGATGCTGGTAAAAGTTCAAAATATTAAAACCCACTTATGATTGACCTCAAACACCAACTGGATGTTATTTATCAGTCAAAGTACTTCTGTAACTATACCTAAGAGTTTTGAGTAGCTGCTTTGTCTATGGACCAAATTAATTCGCCAAGGAACTAACTTGAAATCGAGCATGGGTAAAAAAAATCTTCCATAAATCTCCTAAAAGCCTACCATTCAGAATTTAAATTCATTTGAGTGATGTATTACATAGAGAAGAAAATGCTCAGTCTAAACATTCACATATTGAATAATATGATATGAAATAAGGGAATGCATGTAGCCAAATGAAATGTTGAACAAACGATCGCGTCACCTATTTCTAAACTTCAACATTGTTGCTAACTAACAATTATCACTGGAAGAGATAAATAGTTGATAGAAGAGTAAGACATATAGCGCGAACTAACAGCATACGGTTGTAGACTTCCTCACATAATAGTTGCAATTTCCGGTTGTTATCCGAGGGGATGTTATGAAATAACATCAAGTCGCTGATTTATGGGATTTTGTATGTTAGCCCAGTAGGTCTCCAGCGAGCTCAAATCGGTCACCACTGGAGTTCTGCTCCTTAACATCGAGTGGCCAACTACAGAAAATATCTTCCAGAACACTATATGAATACCTGTTGATACATTCAAGTGTGATAGTATCTTCATAGTAAAAGTTGCAATGATTATTATAGGTCGATTAAATTTTTATATTTACTACTGAGTAATTTGTGATTACACAATTAACTAATCCCTACGTCAATTTGATCTATTGACGATTAGGAAATGTAAAAACGATTATCATCAAATAAGTAGTTACTTGAGCTAAATGACCACTCAGGAAATCTGATGACGTATGTCTACCGACAGTTATCACAATTTTATACTTAACATCACAAACAAAATTATGTGTCATCCACAGTATTTCATAACAGAGTATCCAAAAACGACTAGAACTTACTTCATCATAGACCACTTGCTCTCCTTTGCATGAGGCTGGCGGGTCTCCTTTGTAATCGCCAGGGCCTTTAGCACCACAGCAATGGAACTAGAACAAATAAGAGGTAATTTCATCTTACAGATGATTGGATCAAATCCATGAACTCAGTTATTTCCTTGTTTGGATTATCCAGAGCACCAGTCATCAGTGTATCAATTTCAGAGTCAATTCTGTCCTTATAAACAACTGCAACTATAGCAGCGGCCAACTCAGCAATCAAAAGTACAATGAGGAAGAACGCATACTAAAAACTATATGCTGGTTGATGTAACATACCATGTACAGCATGCAAACATTCTCCTTTATAGCCCCACAACAACCCAGGAAGCTCACTATGAGGATGATCACTCCGACAACAATGATAGCGATGGGTGCTGCCTGCCATACCTTATGCAAATTGTCACCATACTGACTGAATTTAACTTCGACGTATGCACCAGCCCCAATTAACACAAGGGAACATAACTGGGAGAAGCATGTAAAACAAAGTTTCTTCTTACCAGACAGATAATGTTTAAAACGAATACGCAGCTCTTAAGACACCTCATACCAGTACCCAAAGTTGCCATTCTTGCGAACCGTAGACGTCTAATGCACAGGATACAAACTGCCCACTTTCTTTGTCAAATTCTTTTCATTAGAACACTTAAACAATTTTAAGTAATTGGCAATTGGTCGACGTTGTTAAAAAAAATAACAACGCAGGATTCTTTGAGGTATATTTTGAACTACTGAGTTAAATTACTTTGTTCATACACGATTTCGTTTTTTCTGCGAACGGGCGCGATTTGAAATAAACAGCTTATCATTAAGAACAGGGGCTTTAAGTCTTTGTTATTTTCATACATGCTTCAGGAAATAAGTGGGCTGGACTTCAGTCTATAATCACATCGCTTTGATTACCGATCACAAACAAATAGCAGTGTACTCGTGAAATCACACTTAAATTTCTCCCTTCCATTCTGAAGATAGGGTGAGTGGGTGTCTCGTTGACCAAAACAAAACAGCCATCTACAGCAGTGTTTAAAACTTACGAAGCTATTTATTTCTAGGATTCACTTGCCACCTAAGCATTATGGTACTGATAAAGCACACTTCAAGGAACCGAATTCGAAGGATTCATATGCTTGTGGTCAGAGGAAAAGTAGATTAAGCTTAACAGGCTTTCGCTTCTGACGAGAATGAATCTCAAATGCCTCGATGCAGAAACCTAGATACATAAGAACGGTATTACCAAACTGTAATGAAACAATTTCTTAAATACCTAAAATATATCACTTTTTTAAAGAGCTTCTAGGTACCGCTTAGACCACCTTATAGTGGACTCCAAAATTTGTCAAATGATTTGAAAATATTACTGCAATCCATACGTAAAGGAGGTTGGAGGGCCGAGCCATAGTAAAGCCAACAACTCCGCTCTACTTGATCAGTAAAGATGCATTAAGGAAGACTGAAGACTCCTGAAATCAAGTTATGAATGTACGTGAGAGGAAGGGTAATACTTCTATCAAAGTATTGTCGTACCCTGTCGTTGGTAGGCTTTGTGAAGATGATTCCAAAAAGACATTCTGAGGTGCCAGACAACCTGACTCGCCACCAAACACATTCCCGAAGATTGATAAACTTTCGAATGTATACTTGATATGCTTCTGAGTATTTTTAGAGTTATTTAGTAGAAAAAACTGACTCATTTTGTTCGATGAACTATCAGCTCTCGTACATGATCAGTTGATGCTTTTGACCATAAATTCATGAGTGCCTTCCCCCAGTTTGTCTGAATAAGCCTCGTGTAAATGGATAGGTGACTTACCAACAATTAGTTTTTTTAAGTAGGTGATCTTTGTCCCTTCCATATCTTTCTCTGAGTTTTGAAATTTCACATGTGAAGCAGTTGGGTCTGCCCTGCTTTTATGGTTATTCATTGCATTACACGGCCTGACTAGGTGCACGTGGATTCCAGTTAATAAGGGACGTTTTTCGGCTCATAATGTTTCACGTCTGGTAGCCACCACCTGGAAAGGATGGAAGGTTATTTTTATTAGCTGAAGTCTGTAATCCTATTCCTTCTTCACTTTGTGTACATTATGTTGATTAAAGTTTGTGGAGATAGGTATGACAAACTTATTCTGTATTTATTCTGTTAATTTTTCACTGCTTGTACACTTTCTATAAAATGATTGTACATTTTGTTTAAGTATGTGACCTTGAAGGACGAATAGCGTCGACTGCTCACCTGTTGTACACAGCACGACATGCGCTGTTTTCTCCCAACAAATACACTTTACACATATTCCGTGTTCTCCATTGCTCATTAATGTGTTATCTGGATTCTAATGCATATATTATTTACATTTATAGACTACCGTCATATTCATATCCTATTCTACGACGGAATATATCACTGGGATTACTAATCTCCTATAATTGTGGATTTTTGGTACCAAACGCAACGGAACACCTACAAGTAACGTCCATACATTTTTATTGTGTTCATAACATTCAAGTGATACATTTCGCTATACATCTTATTGTATTCAATAACTTTGTTAATATTTTGAAATAATATATCGTTTGGTCCACCACAATTGATTGGTGAGCCCGCGTTTATGCTATTTGTTGTACTGCTATAATTTTTTTATTGACATTTTCGGCTGACACGCTTTGTTTGTATCTAATACGGTTTTACCGGAACTAACCCATTGACAATGAATTTTTCTCCAGCCAATACTTTTACCACATCACAATCTGACGATAAAGTTCTAAGTTCAGTTAACGCTATCTCAGATTTCAAACTTCCTGCATATGGTGCTAGTAATCCTAGAATGTGGTTCTCAAAAATTGAAGCCTTATTCTTAGCCAGAAATGTACGCACGCAAACGACCAAATACGCTTATGTCGTTATTGTGCTACCCAAGTCGGAGATCTAATTGAACAAGTACCTGAGAGAGAGCCGTATGACAAAATTAAGGCCGCTTTAATGCAACGAACTTCAGTCTCCGATGAAAAAAGGCTACAACAGCTGTTAACTTCATGTGCATTGGGAGACAAGAATCCATCTTAATTATTAAGACACATGAAAGAATTGTCAGGACCGTACAAATTGGACGAAATCTTACTCAAACAAATTTGGTTTCAACGGCTACCACATAACGTACGACAGATTCTTACTGTAACCATAAACTCTGTCAACCTAACAGATTTAGCTGACATGGCTGACAGAATAACAGAAATTTATCCAGATAGCCAGGGAGTTAATTCGGTACAAACCACTAGCATGGATAATATGTGTACCGTTCTTAACCTTCAACAACAGCTACTGAAACTGACGAACCAGACCGAAACGTTACAAGCCTCGGTCACAGCGATTAGCGCCAGACCAACCGCGTCTGCGTATAGAAGCAGGTCACGCTGTAGACAGCGCTCTAGGTCTTCTAAACGACCAACCGGTGTCTGTTGGTATCGTCAAAGATACGGTGACAAGGCTCGCCGCTGCTTACAACCGTGAACATTCATCACACCCAGGGAAACTGGTCGGCCAAACAGTTATGGCGGCGACTGTTTCTGGCCACACTTCAGGTCGTCTTTTTCACATCCGGGGTAGAATTTCAGGCTCAGACTTTTTAGTCGATACAGGAGCTGAAATAAACATAACTCCACTTCAACTCTTCCGACAACAACTCACCACTATTAGTAAGGTGACACTCCAAGCGGCCAACGAAACCTAAATCAATACTTTCGGAGAACAGTCTCTCAGGCTTGACCTTGGTCTGAGACGGCGTTTCACGTGGGTATTTGTAGTAGCTCAAGTAAAACAGCCAATTCTCGGAGCAGATTTCCTTACTGCTTATAATCTCCTGGTAGACGTGCGTGCCAAGCGACTAGTCGACAACCAGACACGTCTACATGTAAACGGCATAACTAACAACAACTACGAAATTCATAGGATACGTATAATTAGGCCCATCAGTTAACCTTTCGCCGATATCTTAGCTAAATATGATGGCATCACCAGGGTTGACTATCGTAAGGAAGGTACTGCACACCACGTACTGCACCACATTACTACTACTGATCCACCCGCCTGCGCCAAACCAAGGAGACTACCTCCACACAAACTTCGAATTGCCAAAAAAGAATTCGAGCACATGGTGCAGCTGGGTATCATCCGCCAATCAAACAGCCCATGGGCTTCACCGCTTCACATGGTTCCAAAAAATGATCAGGACTGGCGCACATGTGGTGATTACTGATGTTTGAATAATCAAACGACTACAGACAGATACCCAATTCCTCATCCTCATGATTATTCACTTAACCTACATGAAAAACATTTTTTTTGAAAACTTACCTTGTAAGAGCATATCACCGAATCCCGATGGCGCCAGAACATATCAAAAAACAGCCATTATCACCCCTTTTGGTTTGTTCGAGTTCTTGAGAATGCCATTCGGGTTAAAAAATGCAGCCCAAACATTTCAACGCTTTATCTACTGCACCGGGTGCACTTCGCTTTTAGAAAGTAAACCTTCTAAGTTTTTAATCAGTTAATAATACTTGTCGTTTGTAACTGTTAATACACAATAAGTTATACCCTTAGATATTTGAGTTAATTAGACAAGCAATTATCCCACCAAATTTTCCATTATGACAAATAATTCGAGTAAAAGAGAAATGTCTCCAACTTTTAAACCACCCAAAAGATCAAAATCTGCAAACCCTATGTCAGATGAATCTTCACTAATTATTCCAATGGTGAAACTCGTAGATATAAGGATACTATACCCAAGTATACCGAAACGTCTACACAGAAAAAACTTCAACATAATCTTGTAAAGCCAAAATCTGGAAATTCACAAACCAAGGAGTTGAATGCTCCATCCGAAACCGTTAATAGTAGTAATAACTATGGCAGCGAGATACGACAGTTACAAACCTCACTTGCCGAAATGAACGATAAGCTTAACCTGTTAGCACCCCTCATGCACTTATGGGCCCCAAATAATGATAGGAACCTCGAAGAATTAGCCAAAGCGGAATATATCCTAGATTTTGTGGCTGGGGAAGTTACTAAAAGAATAATGGCTTCCTTCAATGCGATCGCACATAACCTCTCCGACCGCACATCCTCGACTTCGCTTAAGGATAACTGTCTACAAGCGTGTGGTATGGCAAACGTCAGTTGTCAAGTCACACGCCTCAGAAAAAAATCCGACAAACCAACTTGCCTCCTTCTGTTCAAATTTGGCCGCTGCAACGACGCCAAACAATTTATCCGTTCGAGCAAAATTATTAGCACATCAATCTTATTACTTACTTACTTAATTACGCCCGTTACCCCCAATGGAGCATACGCCACCCACAAGTTTTCTCCAACCAACTCTGTCCTGCGCTTCCCTTCCCAGTTCTGTCCAATTTTTGTTCATTATTCTCATATCTTTCTCTATTTCTAATGTGTTCCTTGGCCTTCCTCTTTTCCTTTTGCCTTGAGGGTTCCATGTGAGGACTTGTCTTGTGATGCAGTTAGGTGCTTTTCGTAATGTGTGTCCTACCCACTTAATAATAATAATAATAATAATAATAATAATAATAATAATAATTTATTCTCAAATAACAAACATGTTAGCTTTTGTATTTCGCTATTTCGCTGTTCTTCAGTGTTGCTGATTACTTCGCCTTCCTTGCTTTTCACTGGTCGTTCTGGTTTACGATAGTTTCCGGCCAGCCTCTTTGTTGTTTCGTACAATTGTCTCAAGTTTCCGTCTCTTGCAGCCT